GAAGCAAGCATTTTACCAACTGACTATATATCCAGCCCTTCTTTCTTTTTTAGTTGTCAATTGACTTTTATTTTATTTATTTATATGTGGTGCTGAGAATCAAACCCACTGCCTCACACATGCTAGGCAAGCACTCTGCCACTGACCCATAATCCCAGCCCGAAGTTTACTTTCATTTGGAAGGAAAAAGTGATTCTTATTGTTTTACAAGTCATCTTTTTTTTCCACTTTCCATTCAAATATTTGTTCAAGCTTTCCTTTACTGTTTATCTAATAAAAACATTTTATATGCAATCAATATATTTGAATTTTCATTTCAAGGCTTGTAAAAATGTCACAATGTATTATATTCTCTGAATGAATCTTAAGATATTTTACCAGAGATATTGATTACACAGACTCCATAATTTCTCAGAACTACATTTTATAAATTACCTTGTAAATATTGGAAGTAACCAATATTTCTTTTCATCACCAAAGACTTGTCTCCAGTTTTTACTATATCCAAGAGAGAAACCATGTGCATCAACTCCATATGAAAATGTGGGTGTACGAAATGATTCTGTTAAAAGAAAAAAAAATTACATATATACTAATTAACCTATTTAAAAAATTATAATATAATTATTTGTGTCTTTGACAAGAAAAACTGTAAAACTTCAACATAAAAAACTATAAATACCATTTAAATAAATACTTGAAGCAATTAAAAGAAAAACTAGAATAATATGAGGTGAGAGATATGGCAATTATCCTAATCTGATCATTACTATACTTTTCATACATTTATTGAAATGTCACATATATTTCATAGATATACAAGTACTATGTGTCAATTAAAAATAAAATATTTTTAAAAGATAAATTTCTGAAACATTTGGGAAAAAGTACATTTTTCATCAATCATATAAAATAACATGTCAAAATATAATTATCTGGTATTACTGAAAAATCTAATAAAGTATGTTTTATCTTCCTTTACTTGACTTCTATTTTTAAAAGATACTTCCAACTTTACTCACCATTTATGAACTTCTTACTATGTTCCTGATATCACAGTATCAAGTATTTGGGACTCAAAGATAAAATGAGACAAAATTTCTATCAAAGAACCTACAGTCTAACAAAACTACATGTGAGAAGCACTAGGGACACAGAGTTCCCTAGGGACACAGAGGTGAAAGAATCCAATTTTATCTAAATAGGGACCTATGTGGGTCTTGAGGGGTCTTGATAGAAGAAGGTGAAAGATGGAGATGATGGCACTTGATCATGATTATCTTAAAAACCAAGTAAGAGAATGAAGCAGAAGGTGGTTATAGACCATTATTTCAACCTTGGTTGTAAAGTGACATAGAGTGAGGTCTAGAGAAAGATAAATGTTTTATGAGTTTTATATCTTTAAAAACATAATGTGCTTCAGCATATTTTATAAGCTAAGGATAATGAGAAGAAGCCATGGCATCGGGAGAAACTGATGAAAGAGTAAAATTGAAGGAAAGGATCCCAGAAGAGATGAGAAGGCATTTAAAAATTAATTTTTTTTTGTACTGGGGATTGAACTGGGGGGGGGCACTCAACTACTGAGCTACATCCCCAAGCCCTATTTTTTTGTATTTTATTTAGAGATAGGATCTCACTGAGTTGCATAGTGCCTTGCTTTTGCTGAGGCTGGCTTTGAACTTGTAGTCCTCCTGCCTCAGCTTCCTGAGCTGCTGGGTCTAAAGAAAAATTTTGAACAAGAGAAAAGACTTCTTTCCTCAAAAATTATATGGAAAGTGACAATGAAAGGAGAAATGTTTGTAGAAGGCTAGAAAGGTGTGAAGACAAGAGTTCACTTATGACTTCTAATTTTTCTGCAAAGGACTAACAAATGGATAAGAAGAGTAGGAAGAATGGTGATAATCTGGAATTATATCATGGGTAACAGGTGAAGAACCTCACCAGAAATGCATGACATTACAGTCAAATAGATTTGAGAGTTCCAGTGAGATCTGAGACCTTCAATCTGTAATTATAATATTTTCTATGGAATTAAGGTTTCTTTGATTTGTCAACAGTCCTGCTATTCATGTGGATAAAGTAGATGGTTAGAAAACCCAGGTCATGGATTAGCAAAGGAATCATGGGAGAAACCTAGGGATAGAAGATATAAGAATGCTATGAAGAGTTGCTGAAGTCATTTTATCATAGGATATAAAATGGCCAATGGTAAGAAATGAAACTAGAAGAGAAAGAAAATCTCATGAGAAGTGTTGGATGATGGAACACTCAGTAACATAAAAAAGGCTACAAGATTGTAGTCAGAAAATGTAATACTGAAGTCTAAAATTTCATATTCAGAAGTTCTTCAATTCCAAGTGATTCGATGTGTGCTTTATGGGAATAAGCAGCCAACAGAACTGAAGAGATTACTTTGCTTGTTTGAGATAACAGCATTAGTTTGAATACAGAAATTCATTAAACATGGAAAAATGGCTTTGTGGTGGGTAAGTGACAATTATGATGAAGGGCATAGATGATATAGCAGAATAAAGTACTCTCAAAAACAGAAGAATAGGGCTGCTGTTGTGGTTCAGTGGTAGGGTGCTTGCATAGCATGTATGAGGCACTGGGTTTAATCCTCAGCCATTGCATGCAAATAAATAAATAAATAAAGGTATTGTGTCCATCTATAATCAAAAAAAAAAAAAAAAAAGGACAGAAAAATAAAAATCTGGATGAACAGTAGAACACTAGCCAAAGACACAGGGTTCGGGAAGATGAGACTATGAAGAAAATGTGTTGTCATATAATCAATTTAGTTGATTATAAACTAGATCACAAAATGAGTGCCATGTACATAGTTCACATTAATGACATTTTGTGAAATTCTTGCTTATTTATATAATTTTAAGTATTTTATATATGTACCAAGTCAAGATATACAATGATGTGTTTCTTACTGTGGTCACTGACAAAAAATTTTGAAAAGGTGTCACTTTAGCCCTGGCCACCAGTGGTTGAGAGGCATAGCAGGGATACCCGTGGTAGCCTTATGAACACAGTGCTATAAATGGTGTAGAGCCCGAAGCTACGACCTAAGGCCTGTATTTAGCCCCAGGTCCACTGTGCCGAGCCTACCATGGCCCTGGTGGCTGAGGGTGGGCGCCGTCTAGATGCTGCACATGGGACCTACTCTGCCTCTCATGTGTAAATTTCCTGAGGAACATGAATGGATAACTACAGAAAATGGTATTGGAATAGTTAGGAATCAGCATTTTGGCACAGGAAGTTCTGGGAAATGTTGTTTACCGTAGTCTGCCTGAAACTGGAAGAAAATTGAAACAACAAAAAGAGTTTGGTGCTTTGAAAAGTGTGAAAGTTGCCAGAGAACTCTTTTTCCTCTATCAGGAGAAGAAATTGAAATTAATGAGGCACCTGAAGAAAATCTAGAGTTTGTGAACAAATCTTATATAAAGATGATTAGTTGATGAAGATAATACTGAGTGACCCTTCAGAACTAGATGACCTACTGAGCATATGAGAAATATGTAAAATCTGTTAGAGTGAAAATGGTATCCCATTACTTCAGCATAGTTGTCTTAAATTAGTGGTAGAGAAAAGACTTAAAAAAGAAACTACTCTTAACACTGTAACTGGAAAAAGATACCCTGAACTTGCCAATGACTGCAGATAAACACAACTGTATCATTTTTACAGATCTTTATGATTTTTAGAGTAGGCTTTAGACTCTGGTATCAGAATTCAAATAATTATCTGTGGTAAAAACTACTACGGTGGGCTGGGGTTGTGCCTCAATGGTAAAGTGCTCACTTAGTATGTGAGGCCCTAGGTTTGATCCTCAGCACCACATATAAAATAAATAAAGTAAAGGTATTGTGTCTAACTACAACTAAAAAAATAAATATTAAAAAAAAAAAGAAAGAAAGCATGTATGTGGCCTGGGGCTTTAGTTCAGTGGCTCCTCACCTAGCATGTGTGAGGTACTAGGTTCAATGCTTAACACCACATAAAAATAAAATAAAGGCATTCTGTTCATCTACAACTAAAATAAAAGTATGTACGTCAAAGATAATCTTGTTATAAGCCTTCTATAATATTGTAACTTGCTTATATCCACTCCTGGATTTGGATCAATATACTTATGATCTTCCCACTGGAAAAAACTGGGAATGGAGGAAAGTATTTGTTGTATAGTGTCAAAAGAACAATACTGTCTTAATTTTATAATATTCTGCATTTGCTGGTGTTATTTTTATACAGTCAAACAACAGGTTTGCAGCAAAATAATAAAAAAATATTCAACTTCAAATACATTTTTTGAAAAAGATTATTCAGAAAGAACAGTGAGTTCCCTGGAAATTCCAATCCCTCAAATACTAAAAGGATGGGAAATGAAACAGGCTTAGTGAGAGCTGTAGCAAATTAAACTGTTCATTCCCCATCTATTAGCAGTTGGCTACTATTAAATTCTAAGATATGCTTACCACTACCAGATTTGTCAATTTTAAAAAGAATAATTCTGGTTTCTATGTGAAATCACTTAGTTTTTAATTAATATGGGGGTTATAAACTCTGAGCTTTGCATATAGGCCAACTCTGTCATCTCTGATTAAGGGTAAGGCGGTATGAAGAAGACCAATAATTCTTCTATGAAGAAGACCAATAATTTAGTTAATAAATATAAGGAAATTTAGGGCTGGGGATGTGGCTCAAGTGGTAGCGCGCTCGCCTGGCATGTGTGCGGCCCGGGTTCGATCCTCAGCACCACATACAAACGAAGATGTTGTGTCCGCCAAAAACTAAAAAATTAAAAAAAAAAATCTCT